TTTCATATAAATGTTGTGTACTGCTAAGTTGAATTTAGTCTTTTCTGTTTATCCTAAACAGATGGGATCCATGTGCACATGCTTATTTTGATACGTTAATGCATAATAAATTTCATATAGAGAAATATATCTTTTTATTAGTCTTCTCTTTTCAAAATAAATGGACCTTTTTTCTCACACCACCTTCCCCTTAGATTAACTTAATATAGCCATGGCCATGAGTGCAAAAGAACCCATCGGCAATTTTGAATCTTTTTTTGACCAGTGTTACTTCTTGCCATCATTTTTGCACAGTGAGGTTTAACTCAACCAGTGGGATTATTTTTTAATTTTCTTTGCCTATAAAACAATTTGCAGATTCCAGTCAACCAACATCTCACATCTATATTTAGGGGTTTGCTGAGAGGCCACCTCTGTTTTTCAGGAATGTCCTGTTGAAAGCAGGTTGGGGAGAAGTGCCTTGTTCAAGGGCACCACAAGGAGGGTGGGGCAGGCACTGCTCCGTCACCTGTCCCACCTACATTTAATCCTGCTGATCCGGGATAAAAACCAGTGACCTTTCGGTCACAGGCTTGTTTCACTAACTCATAGGCTCTAAGTAAACAAAGAGACAGAATAAGAGTCTGTGTTTGGTACTGTTGGTGTATGTTCAATAACAAATCCACTCACATTGTCATTTGGGTAGAGAACTCTGGAGATGTTCTCAGCCAGGTTTCGGTCCAGCACAGCTTGGATGTAGCCACCAACATTAACTGTGAAACAACAGCAGTTTCAGCAACTCATGCTCATCTAGGCTGCTTCAGATCCTTCATTATTTGTTTCCCTCACTGCTCAATAAGATTCCTTAGCTTTGTTTTTAGTACTTGATATTTCAGAAATGACTCTGTATGTCAGAGATTATTCCACAGCTGAGAACACAACACTCACAGTCTTTGAGGTTGAAGTCACAGGGGGCCTTAGCAGACCACAGTCTCATAGTGTTGACGATGTTGTTCCTGTAGCCAGGGACTGGGGTGTCATAAGGAAGTGCCAGAACCATCTGGATCCACACAACATATATATTTATTAAGTTAGCTGGTTATTATTCACTATACAAACATTTCATATACAAGATTAGTCTGAAAAGACCAACCAATTCCCTAGAGACCAACCAATACATCAGAGTAGCTGATACTATGGTGAGTTTACTGTACAGGAATAGTAACTGAATCATTTATGGTGTAAAATATCCCACACTATATATCTTGGTCAGCATTCTTTAATCACCAAATTTATACTGTATATTAAAATCTTTCCTCATTATTTATTACAACTTAAAACTGATCAGCTTCACTAGCTGTGTGGGTGTGACTGATCACATTTGATTGACAATGAAACATAAGGAGCATCCGTCATCACACTTTGACTGCTCAACTTTCATATGCCACGTCACACTAGTCAGAAAGGAAAGTTCAAAGAGAAACGCACAGAAATCTGTTATGTGCAATAACCCCATGATGGAAATAGTATTCATTTAGAAGCAGCTTGAGAACACAAGTATTCGGGGTCTTTAACATGCAAACATTGATACTGGCCTCAAAAATCCATTTGTCAGGTTCCAATTTTAACAGGTTTCAATTTAATCCCACCCTCGGACATGTAAATATGCAATCCGGTGGAGTCATAACCATCATATGCGAGGAGAATAACACTGTACCAGTAATAGAGCAGTAATGCTGTCAGATATGTGTCCATTCCTACCGACCTGTGTGTCAACCCACTGCGCTCCTTCATTCGTGTGTTCCACTCGTCCATAGAAGTGCACGGGGCGCATGTACTCAGGGCGAGCTTTCTCCCAGGGGTTACCATAGCGCAGCCAGTCATCAGCTTCCTCCACCTGTGGAACCATGCCACTGTGGTATTTACTGGGTATCCAGTTAAACATATTTTCACCAATAAATTAAAGTTTAGGACCATGAAACCATTTCCCACAGGTGTCATGCACTGGATTAGATCTGCAGACCTTCAGATGAAGTGACCAGGTTTCTAGTTCTTTGTCAGTCACCTCTTTCTTTTTAAATGAAAAATGTCACAGCAAATCTCTGCTCAGAAAACTAAAAATCTAAAACCCCAAGGTTGTGTCTCCAAAACACACCACCAGGTAAACATACCTGCCAGCCATTGACGAGTTTCTGATTGAAAATGCCAAACTCGTAGCGAATGCCATATCCGTAAGCAGCCAGACCCAGAGAGGCCATGGAGTCCAGGAAACAAGCTGAGGCAACACAGAAAGAAGAGGGGTTTGATTGAGACGAGGTTGTCCACAGCACTAAATGTCACTCTCAGCAGCCAATCAGGAGAAAGAGAGAGCTCACCAGCAAGACGACCCAGCCCACCGTTGCCTAGGCCAGCATCTTCCTCCATGTCCTGTAGCTCTTCCATGTCCAGACCCAGCTGAGGAACACATCACCACAGCCTTACAATGAAACTGGCATGAGTAATGCAGTTACCTCTGGGGTCAAGCTATAAACATGTGCATCATTCCTTTCCACTTAATAATCCTACTGAGGCATCAGGACCTGTCAGAGCTCGACATTCTGACCTTTATCCAAAGGAGAAGTTAGGCCAATCATTGAATGCCCCAGGCACAGAATAAAATGGATACTGCTCAGTAGTTTCAGTGATGTCACTCACTGGTTTCCGAACGGACGATGTCTGGATTTGTGTTGTTGTGGCTGCTGTTCCAGCAGCAATTACAAAAGCCATTAAAGAGAGATTCCAGTGATCTTTATAATGTTGGGTTCATTCTATTATTCATAATGTTCAGGTGGAGTGCTACTTAGTCTCTGGAAACAGCTTTATGCAGTATAAACCCAGTCATGGAGCTTGTAAGACAAGTAAGCAGTGATGGAAAGTTACTAGTACATTTACTTGAGTACTGTGCTTAACAGTACACACAATTTTGAGCTACTTGCACTTTACTTGAGCATTTTAATTTCATGCAACTTTACAGTTATTTTAAATTTTGGAGACGTAGTGTACTTTTTACTCATCTGTTTATTTGATAACTACAGAGTATATACTAGTTAATGTTTAGTTTGATGCCAATAGATAATTTTACAAAAGTAAAACTTAAAAAAAAAAAAAAACTGAATCATAGTTGCAATGAGGGGACATCTTAATTCTACCACATACAATAATATTTTAGATCATGGTGTGCTTCAAACTTTGTGGGATCAATTTATTCATCTGTGGTTTTCCCATGATCCTTTGCCTCACCTGGTAAATGGCTTCATCACAGGCATTCTCCAAACCAAGATTAACCATTGTGTTCTGCAGAGTCCGGCCCATGTAAAACTCCAGGGAGAGGTAGTAGACGCGCTAGAGGAAAACAGAGCAACAAAGCCTGAGAGTGCTGTTTCATTAAACTCCATATTAATATAAAGCTGCCAATATTCATTACTGCTAAAATGTTACTTTGACATTTAATATTACTAAATAATACTAACATTATTCACTTGTTGATATCTTTGCATCACCATGCAAAAGGAGGCAAAAATCTCCTGCTTCATCCACAATTCAACAGGGTGAAAAAGATAAAAATTCACTAAATGTCAAACCAAAACTGCTAATTCTGAGGAGGATACTAAAATACTGTACATGCTCTAGCTGGTGTTCCTAAAGGCCCTGTAACATTATCAGCTGCTGTCAGAGACAACAACAGCAGAGCTATTACTGGCAGCCCTACCAACAGTATCTCTTAGGGCAGAGACACACCAAGCTGATGTGAAAGAACTAGCAGCAACGAAGTATAAGCTATAAACAAAACATCTCTCGTTCAAAACGGCTGTTGTTTGTAGCTGCTTCTAATCAAGAATATGTCTGATATGAAGTTACAAACGACTCTTCCCTTCTCTGCCCTTGGTGTTTTGGTTGTGGAAGAAGAAAGGAGGTTGCGGAAACGAATAACAAGGAGAAACCACACTAAACTGGTGAAATCATGGATACTACAGTGACAGGCTGTAGGGGCTTTCCTGAACTATTCTCTTCTTGTGCATTGATTTGCTAACCTGAACAGCTAATCAGAGTGGTCGTTCTCAAACGAGGCCCAACTGCTGATGGTGATTCAACATTTCCAGTTGGTGGAAAAGAGGTCAGCTTCTTTTGCTGCTAAGTTCTTCCACGCTGCCTTGGTGCGTCTCTGTAAATTCTACCATAAGACCACAGTAACACAGTGGAACCTCTCCTCCCAGACATGCATACTGCTGATGGTCTACAATATAATATGGAGGTAATGCTTCAAACTCAATGAGGACATGTGAAGCCACATATTTTGTGTGTCCTAGCTGAAGGTTTGGTAGCCTCTCTGACCTCATACTACACGTCCTCTCTGACTGTGCTGCTGAATGGGGGTCGTATAAATGACGTGGACATGGAAAAATATACAGTATGTGACACAGTGACAAACGTCAGTATAAATAGGAGAGGAGGGCTTGTACCTACCTATAACCTTTTCCAAATGTAGGTGTTTAAGTATCGTAATTAAGCTTTTTATGTCATGAACACAGAAAACAGGGTGTCCAGCAGCCACCCAGTGCAACAGTGTGGCTCATAAAGCACCACCACACAGAGAGGTATCCAGCTTTGCATGCACACACACACACACACACACACACACACACACACACACACACACACACACACACACACCATTAATATAAACAGGATACGTTCATTGTTGGTTCTTGTTTTTAATTACATTTGTAGACAATAATAAGAAAAATGCAAAATATAACCAGAATTATCCTTGAAAGTTATATTTTCCACCATAAAATGACATTTAAAGAGCTGTAAAAATACAGGGCCTGAGGTTACTGCATGTGCCTGACCGGGTCTAACCTACAAGCAGCCGGCCAGTGAAGCCCCAATGGCGGTTAGTGATCAGCTCATCAACGCTGGATTCCCCCAGTTTGTTTTGACTGCTTGAGGCCAGTGTGTCTGCAGCATGTGATGCGTTTCTGGTTGACCAGCGAATCAACAATGATGTTATTGTCGGTGCTACACTACCTGTTGGAATTAATTTCACTACTTTGGGACTGTATGTGGTCATGTGGGGGAAGATGCAACGACCACCGGTTGGATTTACTGACCTTGAAGTTTCCACTACTCAGTGGGATGTAATGGTAGATTAAAAAATAAATAAATAAAAGCACACATTTTGCACGTCAGTTAATGCCTTGTCTCTGTAGAGACCATTTCATCAAAAGGAAATTTGCCAACGTTTGTTAGTTTGCTCATAGCTTAACTCAAAAAGTGTTGAATGGATTTTGATAAAAGGTTTGGAGAGAGGGTATGGCCCACAGAACAGTTTTCTGGGATTTTTTTTAAAGGATCCTTCACCATTGTGAGATGGGGCCAATTTCAATATTGTGCTTCTAACTCCAAACAGAATTCCATGGGCAGACAGAAATTACAAGATAACATCCACACCAAAATTTGATCTGAATCCAAGTACTACTCTGGATGTGGCGATCCAAAATGTTTATATTTATAGAGCTCATGGGAAACTCATTACTGTGAGACAACAAATAATGCTACAGATTTACAGCCAAGATCAAATTCTAGCTGAAACTACTGATTCAGTTGGGAGTTGACAGATCTGACCTATCTTTAAAGGTCACTGAGCTACATCTGAAGGAAACCACTGTGTTTTTCTTGAATAACTTTCAAACTAATGATACTGTATCAATGCCAGCAGTAGGTTTTCATGGCCAAGGAATCACATTATGGGGTCAAACTATCATGGGAATATTGCTTATGGGGCATTATGGGGCAATGATCTACCTTGGTGGAGGGTTGTGCCCTCTGAGTGCCCTCTAGTTTTCTAACCATTTCCCCTCAAATGCAGCCATATGCAGAATCTATAGAGACTTTAGGATATCTACTACAATTAAAACAGTCTTCTGTGGAGCTAAACCCAACTTGGCTGCACCGTCTGAGGTTGTAATAATGACCAACTAAAGGGATTCACAATCCGGATCAACAGTGACGTACCGCGCTGAGCCCAGTGAGGCCTTTACACACTGGATACGATTCATTTAATGTCGCTACAGGTGATGGCCCTTTAAATGCTCTATTCACCTTCGGGTTGCAGAGGGAAAACTGAGCGTATTGTGTTGGACTGAGGCAATAACAAACGTGCAATAGTGCGTGTCCATTTTGTGATGCGCAGTGTGGTTGTGCAGATGAAGGCAGGCCACGACATGTTACGTAATACGTATTTCAACAACCAGTTTAGCGTCTTAATTCGACGCAGTTCCAGCGCAGGATAACACCAAGTCTACACCTAAAGCAGCGAGGCCGCACAGCGGCCTCAATGGCGCACTTTACCGTGCGCCATTTGAGGCCTCACCAAGGTTGCACCAGCAGCTTATTATGCAACAGCTATAAATACAGAGGAAGTGAGTGACGACAGGTCTCCCTGATGAGCAGCACCCGCTCCGCTCACACTCAGCTTCAGAAGAGCCGGAACATTTCTATAAATGGATGTGAAGGGCAAAGCTGCAAAGCACTCGCTCACGCACACACTTACACAGGCACGCGCAGCGTCCATCAGCTGTGATACTGCAGCACAGCCCAGCATCCCACCACCACCACCACCACCACCCCCCCATCACTGCCCCCCGCTCAGATGCGTGTACGTCCAGGACTGCGGCATCAGCTCGCTGCTTACTTTGGGGTCTTTTTCGTAGTAATGCTGCTGCGTCCGGATCCAGCGGCCCACCAGGTGGTCCCGGACTGTGTTGGCCAGGGCGAAGTAGTAGTCCCGTTTGGTCGCCACATTTCGGTCCTTCACCAGGGTAAAGTGGAGATGCCGGTTGAAATTGGTTTTCAGGTCTGCAACGCTTTCCACTCCGGCCAGCCCCCGGATCGAGATCTGCTTCTTCTTCTCCTGGTCTGTCAGCGGCTTGGCCATCCTTCCTGTAGCTGTTTGGTGTTCCTTTTTTTACAGAACGTCGAGTCAAATTTCAGCCGGTTACCTCTCTATCTTCCCTTTGCTGAGCACCGCCAGCCCGTGAGCTGCGTTCGTCCAGCGTATTTATACGACATCAACCTTTTCCGGCCACGAGTTTCAAAATAAAACTCAGATCTGCGTCAGGTGCTTTAGTGTCGCGGGCAATTCACACGCGTCGTTGCATCTACATTTCCATCTTAAACAGTAGATAAATGGGTAACGTGTATTCAAACTGTAGATACTTTTGAATATTAAATTGTAAAGAGCTAAGGATAACGTTTCTTTTTCCAAATTATTTGGTCAATTGCCAAGATTTGACGTTTATTTTTACGCCACAATTACTCTACTCCCGGTCTTAATCTGGTCAACTTGATATTGCTCTAATGTGGAAAGACCACAAAATTGCACATCTACCAATGTTCTCTCAATCACCAATGTTTTCGCAGTTGTCATCAAGTGATTGAAGGTGGTCCTAATTAATTATTACAAGTTTAATGACAACTGTCCAAGCTTCCTCTGCTAAAGAAGACCAAGAGATGTGGTTGAAAGCTGAGGAAAACATAGGACCTTGTCCAAAGATTTTTTTGATCCAACTGAAAGCTGGCATATAGACCTTAAGACCAAAGTATTATTCAAATGCAAACTAGATTACAGATTTTGAAAATCCCATTACTTGCTGAAATATGCTGCCTTTTCATTTCTACTACAGAAGATTCAATCTCCGTCCTTTGTCCTTGTCTGAAGGTTTGACCTAAGCATTTAGACATTAAGGGCTACACACATAAAAACTGACACACAAGTAGCAATGTGATACCAGTAACTGGTTTATGTTCCTGAAACTTGAGTAACTACACTGTAAAACACGATTCAGGAATTTAGTGGACTCAACTAAGCTCTCGTCATTAACTTGATGTAAATATGTAAGTTTTGTTCACATCATGTTAGTTTAACTCAGATCTCTAGTTTTTCCCTGACCATTTTCTGACTTGAATGAACTGCTGAGTTCACTCATTGCATTTTTATTTTTAAAGAAACGGCACTAGCAGACTGCTCAGAAGGGATTGTCAACAGCTGTAGCTGTTTTTCATGTCAAAAGAACTGAGGGTACATCCTAATTCAGTTCTCTTAATTGCATCCATTCTGTTCACTTGCCTTTTCCATGCGCCTTAGTCCCACCCACATGTAACACAAGGAAAAGAAGCCTAGAGAAAATGTGAGGAAACACGTTTTTAGAGGCGCGTCATTCTCTGATGCTCCATCTGAAGTATTCAAATCACCAACTGATTTCCAACAGACACATGCAAGTCCATAAAAGAAGATCTGTGCCCTTGCTCACATGCTTTGTTGCTCCTCAGAGCAGAAATAGGTGGTTTGGGACATCCTTCAAGGTGACAAACCAGGACGTCTTCCAGGTCAACTGAAGATCGAGAAGTGAGAACTTCTCAAATAAGGGAACTGGGATTTTCCTCTCTTTAAACAGAAAAAAAGAAAACTAATCGGCATGTACTGACCATCCATGTGACTGAACAACTGATTTAAAGGGTTTGACTTATTGAACTTTTCTCAAGTTCAGCTGTTAGTTTTATATTCTTAAAACAAAATGACTGAACTGTTTTCCTTCATGACCTCAACCTGAGATCAGTCAACTCACATTTCCAAGGCAGCAGGGGAACTTTTGTTTCTCAGCTAAACAAATATACAATGACATGTAATATACTCATGGTGTGTTTATGGCTTCCTGGAGGATTCAACAGGCAGGGGATACCCATAACAAAACCCCGTTATATAACACTCTTGAATGAGGTAGCCAACCTTGCCTGGGGGTAAAAAACAAACAAACTCTTGGCAAGCTTTCTGACAAAGGATCCATAAAAAAGGAACCACTCTACACTAAACAAAAAGGTGAAATGGATCAGTTTAATGCAAAATCAAGCAAGAATTCAAAAGTTGTTCGTTCAGACCATAACATAGCAGACAGATTTGAGAAGTAGAGTAAAACTAACATTTTTTTCATCTCCAGTAATTTGAGGGAGAAAACACTTTTGTCCTTACAGAAGCAACACAAACAGCATCGTATTGGAGCAGAGATGCTGAAAAACAAGGACATATCAGAATACCAGCATTCAAGTAGTGGATGAGTCAGAACCTAGCAGATCGCAGCATCACACCCCCCCTTTCCAAACTCAATGCCAACACTGGGAAAAAACCAAAACTAACCCTGGAAAACAATCCGAGACAATACTACACAAAATGTTTTCTGATGTAACTAAGATACACTTCAAATCTCATTATTATTACAAAAATATTAATCTTATTCAACTCAAAACCAACAAAGGGAACATGACAGGAGTATAAATTTGTCACTTTAAACAAGATCATGCAAGAGGTTCTTCAATATAATGAATCCAAATTTGACTTCAGCGATGAGACCGATCAGCATAAATTAAACTTGCAGCTGGTTATTTGAGTTTTTTTTTTTTTTTAGTAAACAAGTAAGATGACAACTATTATAGCACTGCAGAACATGTGCCCAGAGGCAGTGTTTGTATGCACACAAGGAGCTTTGTGTTAATACAAACATTAAACAGGAAAATAACTAAATTACACAGCTTTACAACAGCCTTTCCATGTTTTAGAGATGTCCTCACAATATCAAGGCTCAATAAAAAATAAAGCACTGATATTTGTTTGTGTGCACACAGATTCTCTGTATACAACATCAGTCTATTGGATATCTGGTGAACAATGTGCTGCAGCGCTGAAACTCTTGTGGAAGGATGATTCTTCTGTGGCACGTTTAACTCTGGGGGGGAGGAGGTGGGGGAGCTGGAGGCATGCCAAAGGGGGGCATGCCTGGTACACCCATCCCCATCATGGTGACAAAGTTGG